AGTGAGATCGAGTGCGCTAGCTATTACTGTCCACGAATCCCGATGGTCCCCTATACTGACCTGCGCGAATTTCGGGAGTCCCCCGATCCCCGAGGGAACTGCGCGAACATAAAATACGTGAGAGCGTGTACTTCCTAACGCGAGCTTTGACTTCGAATCGAGCTTTTATTCTTAATGATGCGCGTTGGATTGATCTTTTATGGACGTGCACTCGGTTGCTTAATACGAATCGCGCACGCTCGCGTAAGCTTTTCAACGGATGACCTTAGACGCAACTCGTAAATAAAACGTGTTGACTCTGTATGTGTGCATATACTCGGTGTGCTACATGTTTATTTATATGCGTGCACGTGCATTACACATATGTATGTCCGGGAGAAAGCATAGGCTTGATCCTGTTTAATGCGGCTCTGGGTACAATGTGCCGAGCGCGCGTACATCTGACGCAGTGCATTCAGTTGGTACCGCATATACATACAGCAGCATTCCCATATGCATTTGCAGCTCCATCATTCAAATCGATTCTCCGTCGAGTTTGCGGGAGAGATGCAAGTGTGCGGCAGCAGTGGCAGAAGCCGCCTACGCCCTCGCAGCCGCTCGCACACACAAACACACACACACACACACACACACACACACACAAAGTCGGTATTATGCACCAATGCGCCGCGAGCGCGCACTTGCTCTTATACCAATTTTTTCTGCAGTCACCTGGAAAGCCTCGCCACCCCATTTTCATTGTGAGAGCACTTTTTTTCCCCTCCAAGCCTTAAGCGGTAAAATCAATAATCAAGCAAAGACAAAAATATGCGTCGTGCAGAGCTTGCAAGCTCAGTTGCTCATCATTCGCAACTGTCGAGAATGCAGCCGTTATAATTTTTTTTAAAAATTCGATAAACCGCTCGAGTACTCTGTATACTCGGTAAGCACATTCATATACAAATTTCTATATCCAATATTTTCTGGATGATAATTGCGATATGTTGCGTGGGTGAATATTCGAATGGCATGATTATCTTTGATTTTCAAGTACGAGAGTTGACGCACAAAAAAATAAAGCTCTGGCTGTGGGGAATCAAGCAACTTCTTTTTCTGTTTGGCAATCGGGAAGAAATAGGCTAAAAGTTTTGCGGAAAAAAAGTGTCAGATGAAGGTGCATGTATATTAGCTAGCTAGTAGCGGCGGCTGCTAGCAGTGGCCACGGATACACAAGCGAGTTGTTGAAAAAATTTGTATCGAAGCTGAGTAAGCAGAGCTATATATAAAGCGTATACACGCAAGAGAGAAAATAGAAGAAGAAAAAAGTTGCCGTGAAGAGAGAAAGAGTTTGAGTTTGACAAGGTTTATTCAAGTTCATCTCATAGAGATAGTGAACTAATACCAATTGAATTACATACAATTTTACGTAGTGTTGCGTTGCATAATAGATAAAAGATAAAAGTCGCCACACATTGGATTCAAGCCCATATTGCACAACAACGAACGTTATTCGAATAATTATTTTAAAATTTCGAGTTATGGTCATCGCCCCAGCTCGCTAGCGACGGCTCGCAAGGTAGGTGCGCAATCGGCGTCGGAATAGCGGGAGCGACTCGGTGTCGCGAACCGCCAGCGGCAGCTCGTTCCACAATCTTGCGCCCATGATGGAGAAAGAGCGCCTTCGCACCTCCGAGCTCGAGTCAGGCACCGTCAATTGGGGCAGGGAACTGCTCCTGGTTTGCGGCGCGATCCTCGTGTCCCGGCGCTGAAACATCTCGCTGAGGTATTGGGGGCGTCGCAACGATACAGCCCGGTACATCTGTAAGCCCAGGAAAAATTTTCTTCTTTCCTCGAGACTGGCACAGCCCATCCTTTCCAGGAAAGGGGCCAATCGGTCGTCGCGGCGGAGGCCAAAAACGAACCGCACGGCCACGTGCCAGACACGCTGCAACAAAGTGGCGAGGTACTCCGGCAGCTCGAGGTACACCAAGCAACAGTAGTCCATCAGCGGCAGCACCAGGGTCATTGCAAGCTCCCTCCGCATGTGGCAACTAAGCATGCCTGCTCTGTACCGCAGACGATGGAGGACTCCATGAGCCCGCGAACACACGCCACGAACGTGCGAGGCCCATGACAGGTCCTTGGACATCGTTACGCCCAAGTTGCATACTTTGTCCTCCAGCGGGATGATGGTGTTGTCTATAATCAGTGGAGGGATGTCCGCGTCGTTGAAAAAGCGTCGCTGCTGGGAGCTGGCAAACAAAATGGCCTTCGTCTTCGCGGTGTTCAACATAAGCCCGTTGCGATCCGCCCAATCCTTGATGGTCGCCGCGTCCTCGTTCATACTTCTCACCAGGGCCGGCAGGTCCCCTCGCGCACAATGTCCGTAGATCTGCAAGTCGTCGGCGTACATCATGCAGTTGTTTCTACTATGGCCGAGGGCCTGGAGCAGTGAATTTATGTATATAAGGAACAATATAGGCCCAGTAGACGATCCTTGAGGAACCCCCGTGGCAGACGGCTCCCAACGCGAGGTCGAACCATCGATACACGACACCGCCTGCCTCCGGCCCGTGAGGTATGAATGAAACCATTCGACTGTAGACGGTAGAAAGTTCAAGTCACACATCCTCTTCAGCAGCACGGCGTGAGAGACGGTGTCAAAAGCCTTGCTAAAATCGAAGAGCATAAGCAACGTGACCTCGCCACGCTCCATGCCCCCGCGGATGTCGCCGCATATCTTTAAAAGCGCCGTCTGAGTACTAAAGCCCCGTCGAAATCCAGACTGCAAGCCCGAGAGGACCCCATGACTCTCCAAATACTCGCTGAGCTTTCGGGCAATCAGTCGATCGAAAACGCGCGACAGATGCGGCAAATTTGCGACAGGACGGGTGTCAGCCGGTGACTCGGGCCTGGACTTCTTGCTCAACGGCACAATTAATGCCTCCTTCCATATGTCTGGGTATGTCCTCTCCTCGATGGAAGCGTTGAAGATCTCAGCGAGGGCTGGGGCGACGACCGTAAAAACATCTTGAATGTAGCGCAACGACAAGCCGTCGCCGCTTCGCCCACGGGCTCTCGATGAACACTCGTGCAACGTGAAAGAGAGAGAGAGAGAGGGAAAAAATGATGCGGGAAAAGCTTTGCATTGAATCAGCTATAAAGCTAAAAGTTACTCGGGCATCCAAAACTCGCGGCTAAAAGTTTGCATCTCCGAGCAGAGCCGAACAATTCTTTCTTTGAGCTCGCCTTTCGTCGCCCTCATTGAACAATATATATCTATGCATGCGCATGGTGAAGCGTAGGTGTAGTAGACGAACTAGCACCTAGCAGCCATAGCACGCCTACATAGAAGAATGTTTTATTTACCATTAGACTTCTTTCCCTGCGCAATATTATTGTGCGTATATATCACGTAATGTCTGAAGAGCCTTTGTACAGCAAAAGAGCAGAAACGATTCGCAGTCGTTGCACTGCGCGTGTAACGCGTCTGAGCTTCTCTCGTTCCATCGGCACTTTCGATGTTTTCTTCTTCCGAGCTCGCAGAAACCTCCCCTCGTCTATGAAATAAGTATACATTATAGGAGCCACCCAGCCGCTTCATCTCTCTCTCTTCTTCCAGCGCCGGCATGCAAGATCTACGCGAATAAAGTTAACGCAGGACTCTATATCTACGTAGTACAGCGACAAAGTACGTGTAACAACTTTTTTCCAAGCTTCTTCTGACTTTATATCTACTACTACTACTATATCTGTGAGAGTGTCTCTGTGTGCGCAGGATCTATGCACGCGCGCGACGCCAAGTTTTCGGCGTGGACGGCTGCTGCTGCTGCTGCTGCTCGCTGTATTTTCGAGGGACGGTCTTGCTCTGCTACTACTATATAGTATATACCAAAGCTCGCCCCGGCAGCTTTTCTACTATACGTGTTCTGGAAGTCGCTGCAGGACAAATTCCATCAACGAGTTGAGTTATTTTGCTGCTTCGCTTTTCAGGCAACGAAATATTCATCGAGTTCCTCTTCGAATGTGTGTATGTATGCAAACATACACGAGTAGAGGCAGTAGAGCACATGCGTATTTACGTGCGTATTTATAGGCGAGTAATTGCATCGATCGGCTTGCTCGTCTTTCGCCGACTATAGAGCATTCAGCGTTATCTATCTAGCTTATATGCTTTAACTAAGTGCAAGAGGTACCCAGCCAGCCCCGAGCTTTGTAATTTTTCTCTACCTAGAGAGTATAAGGACTTTAAAAGTAACCGAAACGACTCTTCTCAATGGTTATATCCACAAATTAATAGCCACTTCTCATACAAGTTTTAAGAGATTTTGTATAAGGAACGGGCCCGATATACATTTACATTTGAGACATTCTTATTTTCCACCTGCACCCCGCGCGTACCTCAGTCGCTCTCTTACTTTACTTTTCTTGCCTCTTCTATCGATCTGCGCAATCTTTTTCACCGCAAGGCTCACACTTTCCGCTTGTTTTTATTTATATTTTTTTTTCTCTTTAACTCATTCGTCGAGTTCCACCTCGATCTGTTTCTCTCTCTCTCTATTTCAGATTCAAAACTGTATAAACTATTCAAATAAGACCGAATTAAATCTTTTTAAAAGTTAGTCGTGTGCCTCGAGCAACGCGTTCTCCTTTTTTTGTAAAAGTTCGAGCCAAAGATTCTCAAGTCGCAATTCCGTATACGAAATCGAACTTTTGTCTATATACGGAGGTTGTTTTTTCATTCTAATATCACGTCATAATTATAATGTGAATGTGTAATTAGAAATTCTGATTATATTCGATAGGAACAAGGAATGTTCCATTCAAGCGGTAAAAATTCGAGAGAAAATTATACAAAATTTATGGTAATACTTGGTGTAATGGGAACCCACGAGCAAACGAAAAATAAAAATACTTAAAGCTCAACTCGTATGCAGTGTAATTAAAAAATAAAATGATGAAAAATTGCTCTTACTTTACGTGATGGTTATAGGTTTTAACATTATGAAAATTGAACCTACTTTTGTACTAGCATGAAGCTTTGTCGTCTGAATAAGTGATTTATGGTCTCATTCGGGAAAAATCTGTAAAACACTGAAATGAAAAACTCCAATTAGTATTTAAGGTTTAATCAAATTTTGTTTTATTTAAATGTACTTCGAATATAACTCAAGTAAAATTAATTTAATAATAAACTATTATTTGGTTGTATTCATAAATTCTTGCACGATTTCGGCCAACGACGAAAAAAGTAAAGAATGATAAACGTCAGGAAGCACTGATTGAAAAAAAAGGTAAAACAGAGCAACGCAGCCATGAAATAAAAATGCTCGCGAGGCAAAATTTCGTAAATTATAAATGTCCTCGAAGTATAAATCCGTTAAAATAGTAAATAAATGAATCATAAATTTGATATGCACGAAAGAGCGTAGCGCCGGGTAAAGGAAAAAGCAGCAGCAAAGGAGCTGCGGCGCGCTGAGACGCGGAACATGCATCAGAGTCGATGCAGCGCAGTATGACCTAGCAGGGGTGGCTGCTACATGCACACACGTACATTATACACACACACACATACATACAAACACACATACAGAGCTCGACAGTATTGCCGTCGTGGTGTGAATCTAATATGCCTGCTACATGCGGCATGCCTCGCACTGATTTAATAGTGGCAAGGGTGGCTGTAGGCAAATTTTCTCTCTCTTTCGGCTTCTGCACACGTTCTCGCGCGAGCGCAGTATATACCACGACGCGTATACGTACGCGAGTCCGCGGCCTGCGGTGAAACGAGTGCACAACCCCTTAGGCAACACGCTTCATTATTTAAGTACGGCAGCGAGACCGAGGCGAGAGTTTGTTTGCAGTTTACTTAGAGAAACTTGGACTTGGCTCGCGAGCGAAGCCTCATCGAGTCCAGTTGGCCTCGGCAACAGCAGCAGAAGCAGCAGCAGCAGTAGCAGTCGCATCGATTACTCTGATCGTGTGGCTGCAATCAATATGCGGCGAGTCACCGCGCGCGCCAACGCATCGCAACCCGCAAAGCCCGGAGTAGTAGTAGTAGTAGTAGTGGTGCGCAACTTGAGCGCGCGCGCCAGGCAAATGCAAAAACTCTCGGGCGAAGCGGCGACATAATGATCCGAAACTCAAACCGCAGACGTAGTTGCTCTGCACGCAGAGCCCGGAGTTACTTGCGCCGAGTCGAAAGTAGAGAGGGAGAGAGAGAGAGAGAAGAGAGACAGAAAAAGAGAACAAGACTTGCCGCTCTCTTACGTGCTTGAGCCTCGTATATTTGGGAGATTTTCAGCCGACCTGCTCAGGCTTGGCACTTTTGCGAACGCGGAAAATTTTACGAGCCCCCGAGTCCTATTCTTTGCAGCTTAGCCTACCTTGCGAGCTTGCGCCACTTGTATACTTTTCTAACTTGCAGACATACGTATATAGCACGAGTTAGCGAATATTTCTTCACCAACGTTGCTGCTGCGGCGGCTGCTACATCTTCCTTACGCTTTGCTTTACGATTAACCATTTCTTCCAATCGTCCAATTCGTCTGGGGCCTTTATTTTTCTTATTTTTCACGCTTTCTCGAGTCCGTTTTATCTATTGTACCATGCTTCATGTTCATTCTTTACTTACTTAGGGAAAATTTGGATGATATTTAGTAGTCGTTCGGGCTCATATGCAAAGGGGAGTTTTTTTATGTAGCGCACTTGCGGGAACGATACAAAAAATTACAAACAGCGTCGTTTAAATAACATCAATGCAGCGCATCAACTTTCGAGATAACACAAACGCGTACGAGTTCCGAGATGCTATTTTTCTTACGGCTACGAAGCGCAAAGTGGTAAAACTCCCGTCCGTTAAACGTGAAACACTGAACGATATACTATCGCTTCTCCGGCTCGCTCTCTTTTTCTCTTCTTCTTTCTCTCTCTCTCACTTTTTCTTTTTTCTAACACTTAGTATACAGCCATGCTCTATCAACTTGTCTACTTTTTTTTTATACAAAGTAACTATAAGCTAGTGAATTACAACTCCCTATAAATATGGAGCGCATCTTATTTTCAAGTTGTTCAATTTTATACGTTAGTTATTGAATTAGGAACAAAAAAATATTACAAAATTGATAGCTGTAATTTTTTTTAAGAGTGTCTGGTGTATCGGAAGTGATAAAAACTAAATTATCAAGTTTGTTCGAGTAATAAATATTTTAAGCTTCAGCGATTGATATTTCCGCACGGTAAAATTTATTTTTGAATATTCAGAATAAGACGAAAAAATTATTTAAATGGATTACAAATGAATTTTCAATCAAGTATAATATTTAATAGGTTCATTATTTTATCAATTTTTCAAGTTACTCGAAAAAAATTCTTTTATATGTTTTGGAATAATAAGAGGTCTGTCCTAATAGTAAAAAAGTTTTTAAAATTTTAAAACGGTCAACTTTTTCGAGGTACAATCTGCCTTTAAAAACGATTATAAATAAATTGGTGAAAATGCCTCTCAAAATTTTTTTTAAATTAATAATTCCGCTGCGATGAAAAAAGAGGTAGCAAGGGCATTTTAATAAAAACGTCGTTTATCCCTCCATGGGTAGGGAATTAAATTTCTTCGAGTGGTCGGAATTAATGAAGACTAGTTGGATAATACGCACAATTTAAATGGTTTAATTGCTTGTCTCGAGTACTTGGCAATAGAGTACGCGAGCGTTTTTGTCCTCATCTCATTGTAGCAGGAACATTTCACAATGTTTTCTAGGTTTGTTCATTTCTTTTCTTGTCTTATCTCGACGATGCATACATTAGCTTTAGTGGACGACGACATTTCCGCGAGTATTTTAAGCGAGTCATGCCGCGCCGCTCTCTACGGCCATGGTAAATAAATAACCGCTGCACGTACATTTATAAGTGCAACATTACAGCTAACGAATTCGTCTTTCCTTTTTTTTCTGCTCCACAGACTCGAGCAATTAATGATAAATTTTGACAGGAAGCGTTTAAATATAAAGCACACGAGTACCGGTATAATCTCATGACTAATGTAAATAAATGAAAAAAACGCGAGTCAATAAAAGTAATGGAAATTTGGATACTCCACGGGAAACGGTCGAGCATCGGGGAGGGCGTTTTTATACAGTGACCTCAACAAATAAAAACAAGGTTTCAAACGAAACCCGGGTAGTATAGTCGTCAGATGCGTGCGGCGAGATGAAAGCATCCAAATAAGTGCTTGATGTTTATTTGATTGGGAGTTTTAAGCGCTTCAACCTAGTACACCCGAGCTTTTTCTCATGAATTTTTAAATTTCATTACTAGCTACGTGAATCATAAACAAACGACGCCTCCAAGCAGCATCTCGATGCAGCTGAAGCAGCTCGTTGGCTTTTACCTCGTGTTAACAATTTATTTTCAATAAGGATTTTAATCACGTGAATAACAAGTGTGCTGCCGTTGTAAGGTACTACAAGGACGAGGTTTCAGCGCCAGCCAACGCGAAGACAGGTGGCAAAAAAGCTACTCTGGCCAGGATTATACCACGAAGATTGATTATTAAAGGTCAAGTCATAAATTGTGCAGCTTTCACGCGATGGAGGGGGTCGTGCTTGCCGCGATGTGCCGTGAATAGGACAATGTCTGAGTGCTGCCCGTGAGAGAGTTGCGTGCAATCAAGGCGCTCGCTCGTTCCTTGAACTTTGTTTTCTTCTCGGCTGAACTTCGCTGTTTGCTGCTGCGAGCGAACTGCGAATGCTGAAAAGCAGAAAACACATCCAGTCTAGTGGTGTTGTAGCGTCGCTGAGAGGGTAATAGCGAGACGTTTATATCCGCTCCAAGGTCCGCGCCACGGCGAGGTGGCGCATGCGACAACCCTCGGGCTTATAACTGTATAACATTTTTTTTTCAACAAGCTCGTCGACCTCTTTGCGGTTATAGTGTCTGGTATAAGCGGTGTGTTCATACCGCTGCTGCTGCTGCTGCTGCTCTGGTGGCAAGGCGCAGCTGTACATATAGGAACCTGACTGCTGCTGCTGAGCTGCTTTTGAGCTGCACTCACGACGCGGGCAACGGCAGCCTCCAGCGCAGCTCTCTTTCTCTCTACCTCCCATGGGCTAGCTCAGCCTCTTTTATGCCTTGCTCGATCTCTCCTGCACTTCTTTTCCCGGCGCGACCTCTCTCCTCCCCTCTTGCTTGGCCCAAGCAGCAGCAACAGCAGCAGCCTTTACAGCCATTTTCTCTCTTTTCTACGTAATTTTGTGTGTGCGCTGTGTATATGTGTTGGCCTTTGTTGCAGCTCATTTCACTTTTAGCCCCGACGATGGTTGAGACGGCCTTTGATGCTGGCCTAGCACACGGAAGCCTAACCTTTGAAACGACCCTGGTCAAAACTCGTATATTCAAGTTCTCGCTCAGGTGGCTTGGCAAACAGCGGATTATCTCTCTGGTTAGACGTTTCGATATCACGTTTATGATTGCGGAGCTGCTTGAGCGCGCCGGACCATGATCATAAGCGCGCTGCAGCGCCCACCCCTCCCCCAGAGTCCACCCAGAGCTTCTTGCGGTAAAAGAAAGTTACACTCGCGCGCAGTAAATCCGCAGCAGTCAAGCATAGCACGAGCAAAGAGTGCACACAGCGGAGAAACCGGAGAGCCTCTCCGCCGCAACATTGCACACACACACACACCTACATACGCGCGCGGTGCAGTAATCATCAAGTCTGAAGCATAATGGCCAAGTTGCGAATTGTTAAAACCTAATGTATCCCGTGTGGCAAGTAGTAGAGGCTCGTCGAGGCCAAGTTGGACCGCTGCAGCTGCGGCAAGCTCGCGAGTGCGCTCATATGTATGTGGGGCTACACACATTCGTCAGTATGCATATACACACACTCGAATCCCACAATAGTCGCGCAATAGCCGTAATAGTCGCGCGCGGCATGCATTAGTAAAACAGCCGCCGTCGTCGTCGAGTGCACGAGAGAGAGAGAGAGAGAGAGAACGAAAATTCACGCAGACGCGATATAACTTTGCGTCGCTGCTGATGCAGGTGCATTATTACACGAGGTTGGATGAGCAGCAGCAGCGGCATCGCATCTCGCGCGC